CGTGTAGCTGCTTCATCTTGGGATCTTCCTCACCGATCGATTCACTCTGTATTATCTTAACTAGTGACTTTTCAGCACTGTCTAGCTCCTCTTGTGAGATGATATCTCCTTTGTATTCAGAGGGCTTGAAACGTAGCATCCACGCGATTACTCTCAGTATTTGTGTTAGAGTCACTTCACGATTTCCCTCGTATAAATTCAGATACCATGGATTCTCCTCGGGCTTTTTGGCTACAAATCCAGCCACCACAGTCTTCCTCCTCTCTTCTTCTAAGGCTTCCAGATCATACTGTACTTTGATACTGGCCAGTCTTCTTTCTTTTCCTGAAGCCATTTTGGTCCCTCCCATCATCCGGATTTTGTGAATTTCGATGGGGATTCACCACGGGATGGGAGATCTGCTGGATTATGTTCCCCTGCGACATGGTTCCAATCTTCACTCTTCGTAAGCATTGTGATCTCCTTGACATGAGTGTTGGAGGTTTCGATTAGACCTTTCCTATATTTTGCTTCTGCTGCATCCATGATATCGAGCACATCCAAATTCCATAAATCCTGTACGTCAAAACTATTAACGTGAAGTGAAGTCACGATCAGGCATGAATCTTCCATGTCGTTCCCTATTGCTGGTCCCATTACTGTCCACCCCAGCTTGGTTTCTGTCGCCACAACTCCACTTTGCAATATTTTCATTCTGCCTGTCAGAATGCTGCTGAGCAAGTCCGAACCAATTAACATGTGGATCGGTCTCTCTTCGCCTTGTATACGTCAGTTAAGTTGATCCCTCTAGATTTTAACTCATTGAGTATAGCATCATCCCGTACTTGACTGATGTGTCCGCAAATTACTTCCTGATCCAAGAATTTGAGATCATCCATGTATTAGTTGTTGAGGCTGGAAGCATTTACTTTGTAAACATTGTGCTTCTTTTGACGAATTTCTCCGCCTCCAAACAGATTGTGGGTAAGTGTAACTTGCTGCACTCTCTTTAGGCCCAGTGCGTCCACCATTCTCTTTGAAATATAGGACCGCTGGGATCCACAGTCAAGCAACACTCGAACATTATGCTTCCTCTTTGGTCCGCTTATCTTGACTATCAGAGTTTGTAGATAGACTCCTCCCACGGTAGCGTTGTTTAAAGTTGTTGACGTGAATTGATTGGCGGTCTCTTGCTCTGTTGCAGGACTTTCCCTTGAAACCTTCAGTTCCGCTTTTTGGAGATGAGAAGTCTTCTGGGCTTCAAAAGTAGGACACATAATGGGGTAATGTTTCCCTCCGCAGACAGGGCAACGTGGCTTAATCCGGCATTTCTTGAATCCGCGACCAGGAAGCAGGCACCAAAAACAAACATTCTTCCCTTTAGCCTTATCTTTCTTCTCTGGTAGATGCATCCGCTGTCCACTGTAGCATTCTTGACTCGGGTGACCATTCCCACAAAAGATGCAGTTGTTTCGCATCTGAGTGGTGTTGGCGAGGTCAGTAGCCGTCGGCATTTTACTTCCAGTATTCTTCTTAGAAAGATATTTCCTGTTTGATCGATCATCCTTCGCATCTTGATTGTTGTCGATCTTGAACGCTGCTTTGGCCATATTCACTCGACTCTCGCCCTTCACTTCTGTCTTCAAAAACGTCATGAGGTATGTCAACTTATCCTGTACTCCTCTTCCGCTCACCGTATATTGACTTCGTTCCCATACTCTAAGGGTGTCCTCTGGTAGCGCTGATTCGACGAGTGGGTACAGCATAGCCGCAAACTTGTCACGAGCGACGCCCAATGTTTCTAATGCTCGCAGTTGTGTCTCCAGTCTATCGTAAAGCTTCACTACCGACATCTCACCTTCGGCTCTCACATTCTGAAGCACATTCTGAAGCAGGTCACGTACATAAATCTCAACAAGCATTTCATCCTCTCCAAAACGTGATTTGATATACTCGATGACTTTAGGGTAGTTGTCGGCACTCGGTGGAAAACTTTCGACTGCTTCTCTTGCCTCGGAGTTCTCGGCGGTGGCTTGAAAGAGATACTGAAACTTAGTTTCTGGAGGCATCTGTGGATCCCGGTCAATCGTGCTGAACTGACTCCAGAATGTAATCCATTCTTGGTTCTCCCCCAAACTTCTTGAACTCCAGCTTCGGTAGTCGATAGTTCATTGCTGCTGTGCCGCTGATTGTACTAACGTCATCCTTTTTCGCAAGAGCCTCGTAATCAGTCATAATGTCACTGAAATTATCTTCGTACTCACAAACGGATTCGTACTCGGCAGTGAAAATGTCTTCAGAAGCTGATTCTCGTAGCAGAGCTTCTTCCATCCTCATGTTCAATATTGAAAGCTTTTCATGGTGGGTCTAGAGTCGGCGGAGGATTTTCTCTACATCTGCTTTCTTGACTTCCTTCTTCTTGATCTCTGTTTCGAGCTCATTGAACGCCTTTGTGAACCTTGCACGCACTGGCGTCCTAAGCTTTTTCAGTTCAGCACTACTAACTGGTTGGTCAGCCATCCTGAGAAGTAATCACTGGTTCACAGTTGTACCTTTGTGTAATCAGTAATTCTTCAATCTGTATCCTGTCGGCTGCGCCAAAATTTTGTCTTGTCTTAAATTTGAAAAAAAAAAGACAATACAAGGTCCCGATGGCTTAACCTGAACTAAAAGCTCCTAGCTTTACAGTAATGCTGGAAACTGACTTGAAAAATTATAAATTGATAAATCAATATCTTTGTTGCAGTGATCAGTAGAATTGAGTCACAACGCTGGATGGCGAGGCCTAAAGTAGAAAACAGTGATGAATAATTTAATACTTATTTAAAGAAATATTTTATTTGAAAATCACACAAATTAATATTAATACAAATATTATTCAAAAGCAATTATTAAAATTTATGAGAGATAGTTCTTTTTCAGGCCTGTCAAAACCAAACGTTGGCGTCGAGACAGTTTGTTTACCGGAGATGCGGGGGTATTCTTTTTTCTTGCTCGCGCATGCGCGCGGGGGCAGCGGGTACAGTGTTGCCAGCGCTCGGTTGGCCGAAATGTACCTATGGTCGCGTTAGCTAGCCCAATAAAAACAGGTTAGTGATTGAATTTAGATCAGGCTCCGAGGGGTTCCTGTGACTAAATATCAGGTTATAGTCTTCATAGTTTCTGATATGCAATTCGCATTCTTATCTTTTTTCCCCATTAATAATTATTTCGAGCCCCAATTCCTGCTCTTCCAATATCAGATCCATTTGGACATTTAATTTATAATTGTTGAGTGAGGCTAAGATGTTGGGAATCTGTTTTTCTGTACAAATGCAAAATATATCATCTATATATCGTCTCTATAATGTGATGTCTGCTGGATATGATGATGTGATCCAATTGTCTATTTCTCTCATAACTATTTCGGCCAATGGAGTTGATAATGGGCTTCCCATAGGGGAACCCTTGATTTGTTTATATTGTTTTTGGTCAAAAGTGAATATGTTAACCTTAATACATAATGTAATTAAATCTATTATTTTATCTATATTGTGTTAGAGTCTATCATATTGTTATTTAAAAAGGTTTTAGTAGTTTCAATTATTAAGTTATGGGGGAGACTGGGATATAAGGCCTCTACGTCGAATGATACTAAAATATGATCTCTCTGATAATTGTAATTGGCTATTTCAGTGAGGAATGTTGGAATATTTGCTATTGACATTGGAAATACGTTATTCTTATTTAATGACTGTAAAAATATTGTAACATACTTGGCTACTGGTGCTAGTGGTGAGCTGTGATAGGCTACTATTGGTCTTAATGGGATCCCTTGCTTGTGAACCTTAGGTTTTCCGTATATATAACTTTCTGTACAATCCCTAGTAGAACCAGATAGATATTTTTTTATTTTTTTCGAGAATCAAAGTTCCGCCGCGGACGTCAGGTCATTGAATGTTTTAGTTTGAGGTTTAAATATATCAGGGGTATCTTCATCATTTCTATCTTTAGCGACATGCCGAAGATCATCCTTCTGAACCCCATAATTGCCTCGCAGTTCAACATGGTGTTGGTTTATGACGAATTTAAACATCCCATAGGTCTCGGAATGACAGTTTTCCATGGATCTTCCCTTCGAATCATAATTATTTGTAGTGTCTACATTTAGCCGCTACCCGGGTTCTTTCAGTGGAGGTCGGCGCCCTTAGTTAATGGTTGAACTTTTGGTAGCTACCTGGTGACGAGTATGTGATTTATCCATTCCTCCTTTTGGTCGGAAACAAACAATGTTTTCTAAGTTCATCAGAGGCAGAATTAGACCTTTTTCTATGGCCCAGAGATATGACTCGTAGAAACGTTGTTTTGCCCAGCCGCCTTCAATAGGGTCGCAATTAGTTGGAGATTCTAGTGATTTTTAATCAAAATAAATTACTAACCACGAGTTATAATTGTAAATGTATTTATTATTATTTAAATATTAGACTTTATAAAAAAAACTCATGGAGCGTTCTCAATAAGCAATGACTTTCATAGGTGCTGAACGTTGGCGCGGTCATACCTTCGAAGCGTTGTACTCGAGTTAATGTTAGGTTTGTGGCGATAATATATGGTAACTATACGAATTTGAACGATAAAATATACAAATGTAATAAAAATTTGGGCTAAAAATAGTTATTTTTAACCGAAAAAAAAACGAGAGTACGCGCATTGTCTGATTTCGATGCGTTGCCAGATCATAGCAACAAATATTGAATAGTGTTGCATCATGATTAATGCGCGAATTTAAAAAATATTCATAATATTAATTTTGATATATTTAAAATTTAAATTATATATTTCGCCATTACTCTTCATATTTTCACCCTTTCATACTTCATCCTTAAAGTTAGAAATAGTCGTTATTTCTCTTTAGAATAAATTTCGATTTTTGTTTAAAAGAAACATTCGCGGTATAATTGCAATTTTCGTTTTACAATCATCAGCCGCGTTATACTGTATTTTAAATTACTTTATATAATATTTACGAACGGAAAAATATGTCCAGGGTAGCCTAGTGGACATGGCATCTGCCCTGTAAGCGGAAGGTCGTGGGTTCGATTCCCGCCCCTGGACACTTTTACTTTTATTTTTCCGTTCGCCATTACTCTTCATATTTTCACCCTTTCATACTTCATCCTTAAAGTTAGAAATAGTCGTTATTTCTCTTTAGAATAAATTTCGATTTTTGTTTAAAAGAAACATTCGCGGTATAATTGCAATTTTCGTTTTACAATCATCAGCCGCGTTATACTGTATTTTAAATTACTTTATATAATATTTACGAACGGAAAAATATGTCCAGGGTAGCCTAGTGGACATGGCATCTGCCCGGTAAGCGGAAGGTCGTGGGTTCGATTCCCGCCCCTGGACACTTTTATTTTTCCGTTCGTCATTACTCTTCATATTTTCACCCTTTCATACTTCATCCTTAAAGTTAGAAATAGTCGTTATTTCTCTTTAGAATAAATTTCGATTTTTGTTTAAAAGAAACATTCGCGGTATAATTGCAATTTTCGTTTTATAATCATCAGCCGCGTTATACTGTATTTTAAATTACTTTATATAATATTTACGAACGGAAAAATATGTCCAGGGTAGCCTAGTGGACATGGCATCTGCCCTGTAAGCGGAAGGTCGTGGGTTCGATTCCCGCCCCTGGACACTTTTACTTTTATTTTTCCGTTCGCCATTACTCTTCATATTTTCACCCTTTCATACTTCATCCTTAAAGTTAGAAATAGTCGTTATTTCTCTTTAGAATAAATTTCGATTTTTGTTTAAAAGAAACATTCGCGGTATAATTGCAATTTTCGTTTTACAATCATCAGCCGCGTTATACTGTATTTTAAATTACTTTATATAATATTTACGAACGGAAAAATATGTCCAGGGTAGCCTAGTGGACATGGCATCTGCCCGGTAAGCGGAAGGTCGTGGGTTCGATTCCCGCCCCTGGACACTTTTATTTTTCCGTTCGTCATTACTCTTCATATTTTCACCCTTTCATACTTCATCCTTAAAGTTAGAAATAGTCGTTATTTCTCTTTAGAATAAATTTCGATTTTTGTTTAAAAGAAACATTCGCGGTATAATTGCAATTTTCGTTTTATAATCATCAGACGCGTTATACTGTATTTTAAATTACTTTATATATATATATATCGATGTGGCAATATAGTGGTAAATGTGGTGAGGAGAGAAATAATCACACGACGAGTTGGAAGAGGAATCTGGAAGCCATCCGAGAGAGAAAGAGGTAGCGAGAGCGCTGTCCGCTGAACGACTGTTTTCCTGTGTACACAACCGGGGGGCTAACCAGAATAGTCGCCAGGTGGTGACGGGCGGCCCCCTCAGGAATGTGGCCAAAAAATGGTCGTAAGTTAGTTGTCTAAAGTGTCTCGCTTTAGCTGCCCATCTCTCTCTCGTTGGCTGTTGGTTTGTTTTATTAATCCTGGAAGAGCATATATTATGATATATATATATATATATATATAGTGGTAAGTATATATATTTATGAAACACAGATTTTTACAATAAAATATAATGTGCAATAAAACATTTGTATTTTGATACACTAAATACCCCACCTGCTTCAAACTTTGATGTGATAAATAAAGAGATATTCGAGGTGCTACCTAAAAATATGGTTGTCTTATTATTGATTGGATTAACCTTGTAAACAGGATTGATGTAAACAGGACATCATATCGCCTTTATCTATATCCTAAGTTTTGGGTGTCTATCATTAAAATACATATTTTCTTCATAATCTGGCTGATTGGGAATTAGAATGTCCAACATTGATACAGCCTCTCGTCGATATCATATTGAAGGGTGAAAAGTCAGATTTTTTTCTTTTCTGTGTTATAAGCAAAGAGACAAAGATACTCCTCTAGGTAACCTTGTGCTAGTTATGGGGTTAGATAAGACTCTGTAAATCTTCATTTGAATAATTCTTAGAATGATCTTATTTTTATGCCATTCGAACATTTAGAAGTCGCTCGAAATTCCTAATAGTTTCTCTTTGATTTTACATTAAGTCATTTTTATTTCATTCCGTAAAGATTTAATTTCCATTATCACATCCTTAGCTAGTCATTATCTGATGTTTAACATTAAGTATATATAAAATGTTTTTTTTCTGCTCAATAGACACATCTCCCTTTTGTTCCAATGTTTCTCCCAGAGCGGAGTGAAATCCTTCCAGGGTGTCAGGGTATCTTCTTTACTCTCAGATAGCATTTAGCATAGATGGCATTTAGCGAAACACATAGAGTCGTCCAATCTATTGTATTTACCCACCTGTTTATAACCCTCAAGCAATATTGGGGTTCTGGACTTCCATTCACAGCAAAGGGAATTTTGACTAATGCAAGGCGAGAGAAGTTGAGGTACTTTTACATAAGGAAGTAACAATGTACAAAAGTATCAAATAAGTATACCTATCTTTGGACAACAGAAAAATACAAGTATACCTAAGTTTATTTTTTCTATTTATAAATAATCATTATTCCTTTAAATAAGTATTATACAGTTGTTGTGTGTGACAGGGCTGAAGTATTCTGGATTTTGCCTCACTATAAATCCAACTACTGACATTATTGCCCTATCTAAAACTACAAACGACCTTTAGCTGGCACCACCTCTGAGCCTAAGGAGTAACGGCAGTGGTGAGGAATTCCAACAAGGCCAATAAACAAACTGTGATGGCATAGATAACGACTATGAAAGTCAAGCCCAAATGCTTTTGTAAGTATTATTTATCTATAAGAAATGTCACTGAGACATTTGGGATAGTCAATGTGGGTGAGAAAGTTATTCCAATCTTGAAAAGAGGAATAAAGAGCATTGTGTGTAGATCTGTTCGCAGCTAGGTGATGCTCAGGTGCATTGTCATCATTCTCTTGCGATGATGTTGATTAATAATTAAAAATTTTGTATAAAATAACTCAAACACCCAGCACATGAACAATCAAATTTATATGGATATTTTGATGTAATCTTTTATCAATGAAAAAGAAAGGTCAACTCACCCATCAAAATATATATTCACACTGAGCATTAAGGTGTCGCTATATCACTGAACTGAGTACGATAGTTTGATGAAACAGCCATAGCATCTATTTGGACGAGATAATTTAAATTACTTTTTACAAATCAAATTTTATTATATATGGCCCAAAACATGCCCCATATATGGCCCCAGACATTAAATTCTAGAATATCAGAGGGAATAAATTATATAATTATTGAATTACAACTAGACACACAAAATGAATTTAATGTAGAGTCTTTACATATTCAACAAGCAGCCTGTGAATGATATAAAACATAGCACTAGTATTTTCGGAGATAATGAACAAATATAATTTGAAATTCTCTTTAAATAGCTATGGTAGATATTATTATTTACAATATGAGAAACCTTTTCATTGAATATTTGAAACATTATACTTATATGCTGATATAGAAACAAATTTAAAATATTTTATTTTTACATAGTGACTTCAACAAAATTGAAAATACTAGAAAACTCTGAAGTTTATATTCTATAAATAATATTGATAGTTTCAAATCGAGAACGCTTGAAGAAATCTGAGAGATTTCGTTTTAAATAGATAGAGCAGTTGGGGTAGTTAATCAAGAGAATATACAAAATGGATTGTTATTCTGTAGGGGAATTTGGGGATAAATAGTTTATCGGGAGAAGGAACTATATAGGTAAGTAAGGGAGAGTGGGGCTGTTTAAATAAAAGAGGCGACAGTGGGGGTTGTTAGTTACAAAGAGTGGAAGGAGATGAGTAATAGGGGATGTGGCTAGTTAGATATGGGGATACATTGAGATTCACTAAACGTTTTTGCTGTTTAATAAATGGAATAAATAATGAGGCGCTGGAATTTAGAGGTTGTTAGAGAGGATTGAGGAAGTGAGGTAGTTAGAAGGAAGCGCAGAAATGGAATTTATCTAGGAGCGCTGCAGTTGGAAAATATATTTAGGATGTAGATGGTTGGGTAAATAAATAGGAGCGTAAGTGGGATATATGGTTAGGAGGAGGCGTAGGTGTATTTAGTCATGAAAGGGTAGCAAGTTTATATTGTCAGAGTTGGGGCGCTGTGGGTTCATTTAGTTAGGAGAGAATGGTGGGATCATTAATTAGGTAGAGGCATTAGGGTCATTTTGTAAGGAGGGGGTGGTAGGGTTATTTAGTTGGTGGAGGGAGGGGGATATATTATTAGGAGGAGAGTGGGGATTATTTATGTAGGAGGGAACAGGGGCCTATTTAGGTAGTAAGAGGAGCCTATTTAGGTAGTAAGAGGAGCCTATTTAGGTAGAATGGGGGAGGGGGCAAATTTAGGTAGGAGGGAGAGGGACTATTTAGGTAGGAGGGAGTGAGGACTATTTAGGTAGGAGGGAAGGGTGACTATTTAGGTAGGTGGGAGGGGGGCCTATTTAGGTAGGAGGGAGGGGGCTTATTTATGTAGAAAGTAGGGGGCTTATTTAGGTAGGAGGGAGGGGGCTTATTTAGGTAGGAGAGAGGGGGGGCTATTTTGGTAGGATGGAGGGGGGACTATTTAGGTAGAAGGGAGGGGGGGTTATTCAGGTATGAGGGAGATGTGCCTATTTAAGTAGGAGGGAGGGGCACTATTTAGGTAGGAGGGAGGGGGCGGTTTTAGGTAGGAGGGAGGGGGCACTATTTAGGTAGGAGGGAGGGGGCACTATTTAGGTAGGAGGGCTTATTTAGGTAGGAGGGAGGGGGGTCTATTTAGGTAGGAGGGAGGGAGAACTATTTAGGTAGGAGGTAGTAGGGACTATTTAGCTAGGAGGGAGGGGGCACTATTTAGGTAGAACAGGGGGGCTTATTTAGGTAGGAGGGAGGAGCTTATTTAGGTAGGAGGGAAGGGGGTCTATTTAGGTAGGATGGAGGGGGCACTATTCAGGTAGGAAGGAGGGGTGACTATTTAGGTAGGAGGGAGGGGGACACTATTTAGGTAGGAGGGAAGGGGACTATTTATGTAGGATTGAGGGACACTATTTAGGTAGAAGGGAGGGGGCTTATTTAGGTAGGAGGGAG